GTGGCTACACTAAACAACAGATCTTCAATGTAGAGAAGCAGCCTTAAATTGGAAGATGCCACCGAGAATTTCTATAGCTAGAGAGACTTCAATGCCCAGCTCTAAAACTTCAAACAAGAGGCTCTCTTTTTTTATTTTTAGAGATTTTTGCTATAGGACGGATGTGCTTGCCAGAGAGATACAGAAAGTGAGAAATCATCCTCCAGGGGGGGTGACCATGCCACAATCCCTTCTCCTCCATTCTCTCAGGATTTGGGGCACACATGCATATGTGCCTGGTGTGAGTTTCAAGCGGCTGGGTCAAGGACTCAAAACTGTGGTTGACCTCATGGGAGTCCAGCACCTTAGCCACTATGCCACCCACTGGATCCCAGGCTGGCTCTCTTGTTAGGGGCTAAAGAAGCTGGCAACTTCAAGTTTAAACCAATGTTTATTTACCAGTCCCCAAATCCTAGGGCCCTTAAAAATAATGTTAAATTTGGGATGAGCAGTTGGCATAATGGCTATGTCGCTGGACTCCCATGTAGTCAACCATGGTTTGAGTCCTGGACTCCGGTGGCTTAGACTCATGCCTGGCGTGTGTGCATGCGTGCCCAAGATCCTGAGAAGAGAATGGAGGAGAAGGGATTGTGGTATGGCCATCCGCCCTAGGGGGCGGGGGGGGTGATTTCTGGCTTTCTGTCTCTTTGTCTCTCTCTGTCTTCTGGCGAGCGCATGTGCCCTATAGCAAAAACCTCTCAAAAAGAAAGAAACAACCTAGAATTCTATATCAAAGCTTTTTCTTTTCTTTTCTTTCTTTCTTTCTTTCTTTTTTATTTTTTGCTAGAAGGTTTGTTTGTGAGCTTACCAGAGAGACAGAAAACAAAGTGAGAAAACATCCCTATGGGGGATGGTCATGCTACAGTCCTTTCTCCTCCACTTTTCCTTTCAGAATTTTGGGCATGCATGCACACATGCATGGCACATTTTTCAAGTCACCAGATCTGGGACTTGAACCATGCAGTAGGCCATGTGGGATCTATTCATCCCAACCACCACACCACCGGCTGGATCTTTAAACCTTTTCAAGAATGAAGACAAAATGAAAACATTTTCAGACAAAAATAAACCAAATAACACCCCATAATTTGCCACCAACAAGTCCTCGATATGGTAGATATTACTATATAAACTTCAGGCAAAGTAGTTACCCAAGATGGAAGAGCTGAAGCAAATGCAAATAAATATTCATTATATAAACAGACACAAAAGTATTTGATCTGTTAGAAAAAAATAGGATGGGACCAATATACAATCCAGCACACTGTTCAAACTATTGTTTGAATTTAAAGCATTCTGAGGTCCTTGTATTATTCATGAAGAGGGTAAAAATATTGCTTACTTTGGACTTTAAATAGGCATGTTTCAAAAGCTAAAATAATAATTTCAAGGACAAAAATATAGTCAGGACAGTTAGAGATCTGTTCTGAGAAACAGTCCATTAGGTGATTTTGTCGCTGTGCGAACATCACAAAGCATACTCAAATTTAGATGGTATAGCCCTACTGCACACCGAGGCTATAAGGCAATTAGAATCTTATGGGACCACCACTGTACATGCAGCCTATCACGAACCGAAATATCATGCAGCACATAACTATACATACATTCCAGAAAAAAACAAATAAAATAGATGAACAAAAATGAATGGGAACTCCTTCAATGTGAAAGATAACAAGGGACCCAATGAGCCAATTCAAAGACATTATCAGGCTGGCTCCATGGCTTAGGGGTTAAAGGAGTCAGATCCCACATGGCTGACCGAATTACAGCCCCTGTGGTTTGAAAAACACGATGTGTGCATGTATGTGCATGCCTAAAATCCCGATAGGAAGGAGCGGAAGAGGACAAGGGATTGCAGTGTGATCATGCCCCAATGAGGTGAGTGCTTTCTTTCTGGTGAATATGCACCCTCTAGCAAAAACTTAAAAACAAAGGAAAACAAAATATTATCAGAATGTATAAAAAAATCAGAAAATCAATGTAAAACACACAAATAATCTGGCTATAGTCTAATCTTAGTACGTAAAACATAAAGTAACGCTGAAAGCCAGGGAATAGGAAACAATAACAATTACAGGAGAAATTATATGATGCCTTTGGATTTGATTTAAAACAACCCTAAACAGAAATATATCAGGAAGAGAGAATAAATTGATAACTGTTAAAGATTGTAATAGGGGCTGGCCCTACAGCCAAGTGGTTAAAGGAGCCAGCTCCCACATGGCCAACTGCTTTCACTTTCTCTCTGGCACTCATGTAGACCTAAAAAACCAAAATGCTAAACTCTATTATACAGGGGTACATAGTATTCTGCAGTTTCTCTCTATTTTTTTTATCTCTAAATATCTTTTGACCATTATCTCCTTTCTGTTCTTGAGAACAATTATTTGTGATACAGATGGTCTTTTTTTGTTTGTTTGTTTTAAAAGAGATTTTTGCTATTGGGCAGGTACGCTCACCAGAGAGACAGAATCACACCCCGGGGGGATGGCCATGTCACAATCCCTTCTCCTCCATTCTCGGGGTCTTGGGCAATCAGGCACAAGTGCTTGGCATCAGTTTTAAGCCACCGGGTCCGGGACTTGAACTGCAGTTGACGACATGGGCGTCCTGCAACGTAACCATTATGCCATCTGCTGGTTCCTAATGATAGTCTTATACCTCAACCTTTTACTTTTATCTAGAAATAGTCAGACCAAACTCTGAAATTTTTAAGGCCTAGACATGAAACCTGACTCTGCAAACAAGCTAGCTCAGTTACTTTTGCACAGGTCACTTAACTTGGTACTCTGAACTTCATTTTTTGCCCTTTCTACAACATACTAAAATACCTATTTCATAATACTGCTCTAAGGGTGAAATGGTATAAAGCATCTTCATTACCCAGCAGAGTACCAGACATAAATTGGGTGTCCAATCTGTGGAAGTGATTCTTGGCTTCTAAGCTTTATTGTAGAAAAATAATAAAAACATCTCCAGCTATTACTTAAGTATCATTTGTATTAGGGGAGCTCAAAAAGTTCATAGAAAATGGAATTGAGGTATGAGTTTACTTTGGTGTGAAAATTTTTTGAAATCCATTTTTTCTTTTGTAATACAGATTTTTGATAAACTTTTTGAGAAACCCTAGTATTTTCTTGAATTCCTACCCTCACCTTATCTCATATAACAGATACTCAATGATTATCAGCATTTTTATTCTTAGGAGGAAGTTTCTAGCACCTTAGCACTTCTTTTGAATGCAGCCATAACTCCATGTAATACATTATAGTCCCTCTTTAGCCAAGGTTTTGCTTTCCGAGATTCCAGTTACCCATAGTTGACACTGGTCTCAAAATACTAAATGGAAACTTCCAGAAATAAACAATTCATAAGTTTTAAATTGTGCACAAGTCTGAGTACCACATCCTGCTGTCTCACAAAAGTGACTCATCCCTCTGTCCACCAAATCTATAGTATACACACCTCACTTACTAGTTGTCTTATCTACCAGACTGAAAAAACACCATACACAGGGTTTGGTATTATCTGGGCTTTCAGGCATCTCCTGGGAGTCTTGCAATGTATCACCGAGAGGTAAGTGTGTACTACTGTTCCCTGTCAGATACACCATAGGCTTAACACAGAAGTGTTTTTGTGGATGTTTTAGCTACACTTGTCCACTGGCTGCTCCTTAAACACTCTATAAATGGATTCCAGCCTCAGGGCCCATTTTCCTTTCACTGGAACCTGCTTCCTTATCTTCACAGGCTGAGCTACTTGCAACACTCAGCCCTAACACGGCCTCTTAAGACAACTTTCCGTGACTGCTCAGCCTCCACCACAGCCACACTCTCTATTCATAAGGTAGCACTGACCACCACTTCGTAGTCGCTGTTTCCAAGTGGGTTATCTTCTCCTTTAAGCGCTTCTTGAGGGCAGGGTCTGTGTCTGTTTCCAGAGATGTCCCCAAAGCCTAGCATTGCATCTGGCCTAGAGTAAATGAATAACCCACTCCTGGGTACTACTCATCCTCAAGCCCAACTCTGAGCTTTGAGGCAAGGTGCGGTGGGAGAGTTGATGGAGCATTCATTGTGAATGAGCTACTGAGCACCCAGATCGGGCCCCTTTATTGGGTCTCAAGGGCAGGTGTCTTTTTTCCCCCGCGAGGGACTCAGTTGGGAGTGGACGCTCATGCCGTGGCGTCACCTTGGGATTCAGGATTCTCGGGTGGGGGTGGGTCTGAGCTTTGGGGATCTGCAGCATCCCGGCAAGGAGTGTACTGGTCAGACGGCTGCACGCACGAAGCTTCTGGAACATCGCCTATGGAATGAGCGCACAGAACTAGGGAGGGCAACCGAGCCAGGCGTCGAGGGCTCCCAGCACCAGGCAGAAATCTTTAACGTGGACTTGGAAAGTGAAGTGTCGGTCAACAAGGTCCGCCTCAGAGCAGAGCGAGACAGTGAATACTGGTCATGGTAAAACGGCTTCCACGGAACAGACTGGAAAACTCACCGGAAAGCGTAGGCTGTACCAGATGCCCCGAGAGACCTCGGCCAGAGGGAGGAACCCTAGCAAACACACGCCTGTGCGCGTGTCCTGTTCGCGCAGCCGCAGTAGAAGCCGCGCGCGCGCTTCAGCGTTCTGCGCAGCCGCATTGGAGACCTCGTGCGCCCGGGGTGTGGCGCGGCGCTGGGCGGAGCTAGCTCCCCTCTCTGGCTGACGCGCGGGTCGCGGCGGAAGGGTGTAGACGCGCAGGCGCGGTGGTGAGTCCAGGGGGCAAGGGGGCGGGGCCGCGCAGGCGCCGTGAGGGGCGGTAGCGGCGGCGGTGGCGGTGGCGGCGGCAGCTGTGAGGGGGTTCCGGGACCCCCTCTCCCTAGCATGCGCCCCTGGCCCGCCCGAGGCCCCTTCATTGCGCGCCCCTGGACCCGTCAGGCATTGCTGTGGTAACGCGGCCGCTGTCTCCCTTGGGGCGTTGACGGCTGAGTTCGGCCGGAGCGCATGGCTCTGGAAGGCGCGGCCGAGAGTTTCCGCTGGGACCCGCCTTCTCCCCAACCCCCCAGCCCAGGTCTGGATCTGAGTCTGGGCCCGGGCCCACCTCCAGGCCCGCCGTCGGGACGGAATGGTGGCCCGAGGGTGGGGGAGACGCGGCTGGTCTGACTGTGATTTGTCGTCGGGGTGGAGCCTGCTTGTAGTCGGCGGGATATAGGCTTGCCAGGTGGAGGTTTGGGACGCTGGCTCCCCGAAGTTCATACAGGAGCCGCAGTCAGGACAACCTGCGCTCCGCGGGCAGCTCCGTCGTCTGGACAAGAGAGCCATCTTTGGGCTCTGGGTCTCAGTTTCCACTTCCTTAGGATGAGGTGACAACTGTTGGCCCCACCTCCTTCACGGGGTTAAGTGAGGAGTTAACACGTGGCCTGTCAAATGGAGGTGTTTTCTAGACGCATCAGAGCAGCCGAGTGATTTTGTTGAGAGCTTAGGACTTTTCCTACGGACAAGGACTGGTAACATCGCTGGAAATCTTGAGCGTACAGCTGTCACAGCTGGTTCGCGTTGTCAGCATACCTTGGGCAATTAGGGGTTTTGAGTATGGCTTGTTCTTTGGTTTTATCTATGTCTTTTTCCATTTTAAATTCTTAAAAAATTTTAGGCTTAATTTAGTTATATTTAGACATCTTTTTTTATTTTTGCTATAGGGTGTGTTCACTGGCCAGAGAGAAAGTGAGAAATCACTGGGGGGATAGCAGAGAATGGCCATGCCGAAGCCCCCCTCCTCCATTCTTTATGTATTCTGGACATGCACACGCACCTGGCCTCAGTTTGAAGCTTTGGTCTGGGAATCGAACCACAGTCGACCATGTGGGAGTCCAGCGACATAACTGTTATGCCATCTGCTGGTCCCTAGTCATCTTACTTTTAGTGTTCTCATATTTCCTTTCAAAATTCATGTTTCTTAAAACTTCCCAGCCCCTATCTCACCAAGAATGTTTGACTCCTTTACAACAGCCTACAGGGTCTTAATGCTATTTTCTTTTCTGCTCTTATTTTGTTGAATACCATTTCTTTGCCCATTTTAGCCACAGAAGTTTCCTTGCTATTCCTCCACTATTTCAGGAAAAAGTCCATCTGGCCTTTGTCCGCTTTGCCCAAAGTGCTCTTCCTTCAGCTAAGTAACTCTTTCCTTAATGTCTTTGCTCAGATGTCTCAGGGAATATCTTGCTGAAGACTTAATTTCAGTCCTCACTATTAGGTTTTTGTCTTCCCTGCATTATTGTCACCTGTAGCATTTTATCACAGTCTAACATGGAGCAAAACTTGTTTTCATTTTTTCTAGTATCTTACTAGATGTATTTTCTTACTACATGTAAGCCCTTTGGATTTGTCTTTTTTGCTCACTTCCATATCTCCATCTTTTGGAATAGTCCCTGGCATGTAGTAGGTGCTCAGAAGTATTTATTACATGAATTGATGAAAAATTATTGATCAGCAACAGGGATCCTGAGAAAAGGCATTTCTGCCTTTCAGAGTGAAATTTTGCACTTGAAGCTTATAGTACTGAACTTTGGGCTTATATAAAACTTTTCTTCCAAGCTATTTATTCAATGTATCATGCAAGTGTTACCTCACTTATTATTCTGACAGCTGTGTGATACAGGTAGGTGGCAGATATTAAGACAAATGGAGGAAATAAGACAGAAGGAAATTGACTTGACTTAAATCACATAGCAAGTGAATTGCAGGAGTGATTGTAGATCATAGATTCAGTCATTTTTATTTTACTGGAACTATTTCCTCCTTCCTAGAAATGTGAATTAAGTGTTCAGTAGATACCTTTGACAGTTATGTGAGTAGAATCAAGCTAACTCATAGGAAGCAATTTCTGCCAGGAGTTTTCAGGCTGTGCTTTTCTGAGCTTTTAGTTTCATTACAAAAATTTAAGTGTCCCATCCACAATGGCGCAGTCAGTAGTATACTGAACTGCGGTGCTGCAAGCCCCCTGCCTGAGCATGAGTTAGTGTGGTTTTCCACAGGGTCCATGTGAGGCATGTCTGGTGTGCTTATGTGTAAGGACCTGATGAACTGGAGGGCAGGGGAGTGGATTGTGGTATGAGGAGACCATGCCAAGGATGCTTTGCACACACTCTATCATGAATAAAAAAATTTAGGGGACCAGCAGTTAGCGTAATGGCTATGTCGCTGGACTTCCATGTAGTTGACCACGGTTCGAGTCCCAGACCCAGAGGCTTAAACTCACGCCGGCCGCGTGTGTGTGCATGCCCAAGATCCCGAGACAAAAATGGAGGAGAAGGGATTGCGGTGTGGCCATCCCCCCTGGGGGCTGATTTCTCGTTTTCTGTCTGTCTTTCTGGCGAATGCACATGCCCTATAGCAAAAACACCCCCCCCCAAAAAAAAAAAAAATTAGGACTAGGTCTGTGACCTGGCGGTTAAGGCAGTCAGATCTTACATGACCTACTACGTGGTTGAAGTCCCAGACCCAGCTGCTTGAAAAACAGACCAGACACAAGTTTGAGTTCCTAAAATCCTGAGAGGAGGGAGAGAGGGAATTGAAAGGAATGTAGCATGTTATTTCCCTATAAAGGGTGTTTTTTCTTCTTCCTCTCTCTGTCTTTTTAGTGAGTGCCCTCTGGCAATCAAACAAAACAATTATGTACTGAGGTAATGAAGGTTGAAGTGTGTCCAAAGTCTAATTGTTTTTTCTTAGGACTTACAAATTAAATTCCTGGATACTCCTGTGTATGTCTCTCATTTTTTCTCCCTTTGATTCCCCCCCACCACGTTATTCTTAGAATTTGCAAATATGCAGGTGTGAGAGGAAGAGAGACAAACACTCTCGACAGGGTCTGGTCACATCATGACCTGCACCCTTCAGATCTTGGGCCCTTGTTTGTGGGTCCTGTGTGTTCCCCGCTGATCAAAATGGAGATTCAAACCATAGTTGCTATGTGGGATCCTGCTTCTCTTGAGCAGTGCATTTTGTAAAATTTTGATTTGGAGCAATGGATAGGTCATTTCTATGTGAAGATGTTGGTAAACTATAAAATACTTGTGCAAATATTTATTGTCTTTCAAAGTTCCATATATTTTTAATAAGAATTAAAAGGTTGAAAATGATTTTGAGAGTTGGCACGTTCTCTTCAACATGTTACTTAAACAGTAGGTAAAATTGCCATAAGCATAAAATCCTTAGAGAATTGCTGTTTCCATTTGGAAAGTTATTTTCATAGAAGTCTGGAAATTTTCAAATTGCTTTAAAATTTATTACTGCTTTTAGAATAATAATGGAAAATACAAACATGTTTTTTTCCGTTTATTATATTAAGCATATCTTAAACAAGTTATCAGACTCATCATTCAGAATGTCTTGATCAGTCACTTTCACTTTGTGAAGTTTCTGTGAAAGTGTTAAATAAAAACGAGGATCTTCCTGCCAGTGAGTATTTGTTAAATTACTCTGCAGCAATTTTTTGGTTTTGTGACCCTCCAGGGAAAATTTTAACTCTTTCCTCTCAGTCCCTTCCTTCCATTCCCTTTACAGTCCATCATCTTGGTTTAGGCCCGTGTTAATTCCATCTTGCCTAGCCTCCCGAAGTAGGGCTTTCCCCCATTCCCCTGCTTCTCAGTTTTTAGTCACCTACAGATGACTTCTTCAGGTCAACTGTAGTTATGTCACTTACCTCTTAGAATAACCTTCCATGATTTCTTACTGCCTAATGAATTTAATAAATTTCTTACCATGGTATTCCAGGCTGTGTCTCTTCTTTCTAGCCTTCCCTCCCTTAGTTTATACTTTGTTTACTGAGACAGTGAGCAAGTTAGTCTGTACCTTGAGGAGACAACAAGATAACTGATAAGGGATTTTTTAGACATAGAAGGATGAACAAGTTTATTCTTGATGAGAATAGAAATTACCATTGTGACTGAGAATGTATGTTTTTAGATCACCATTGTGAGAGTGATGAGTGACCACCCCCCACCCCCACTATAATCAAGGGGGAGGGAATAACAGGTAACATGTTTTATACATGTTGGAAATTAAGGTGATGTGAACATCACATATACAGGTTTGAGAGGAAGAGAGGATTATGTGAGAAGGGCAGCTGGAATGAAAGCTGGGTTATATTGCCCTTTTAATTCATGTTTTTGTATAAGAAAGATTTAGCTAAGAAAATCTAGGTTGGTAAGAATGTCAGTAATACAAACAATGAACCATGTCTCTGAATGTAAAAAAAAAAAAAAAAAGAAAGTGCAGCCTAAGAGAAACTAGATTGAGAAGAACTATTGAGGATTCTCTATAAAATGACAATTGAAGTATAAACTTTTTTTCTTTTTTCTTTCTTCCTCTCCTTAAAATAGAGTCTGAGATGGACCAAGTCAAAAAAGTTTCTGCCTTGGAAACCAGTTGCTGTCGTGAGATAGTTCAAATATAAGAAGACCTTGGTTTTTAGAATTTGTGGTAGAAATAATAAGTTAAGGGATCTTGCCATAAAAGTCCAGAGATGGGAGGAACCAGCAGTTAGCATAATGACTGTCACTGGACTCCCACGTAGTCGACTGTGGTTCGTGTCCCCGGACCCGGTGGCTTAAAACTCACACCGGGCGCGTGTGCGTGCCCGAGATACCGAGAGGAGAATGGAGGAGAAGGGATTGCGGCGTGACCATTCCCCCTGGGGAGTGATTTCTCGCTTTCTGTCTCTATGTCTCTCTCTGTCGGTCGCATGCGCCCTTTAGCGAAAACCCCTCAAAAAAAAAAAAAAAAAGTCCAGAGATGAGGCCTGCAGGTGGTGTAGTGGTTAAGGTGCTGGACTCCTATATGGCCAACTGTGGTTTGAGTCCCAGACTTGGCAGCTTGCATTCTTACTTTCTCTCTCTCTGTCTGCCTCTGGTTAAATAATAATAAATTTTTTAAAACCTAGAGATGAATTGCATTATTCTGATATAAAATAATGCACCATAAGATTGTTATAAAGATTCAGCTTTAGGTTTGTTATGTAGGTAAAATGGAGTTAGGATGACATCTTCCTAGTATGTCCAATAACAAATTCTGTTAGAATGAAATGCTTATTGATCTTGTATTGAAACTATCCTGAAAGCAATTACTATATTTATAAGGTACAAGGTAGTTTTTGTGGTAAGCTTTTTCTTATTGTAACTGATCCCGTCTTTATTTTTATCTTATTAAACTTAAATAAGTAGAGGGGAAAGAGCATCCATTCATGACATTTAAGGCATGTTTTCTGTCAGAAGTATTATAAAAGTAAACCGTGCAATGTGTAGATGGAGAATGAAACCATACTAAAAATTTCGTGAGAGCACCCTAATCATTCCAACATTCTGTACCCTGTAATCTTCAGTGATGAATTTTCTCGTTTCTTTACTCCTCACAAGAATCTGCATCCTTGTCTTTGTGATCCTACTATAATGAGAAAACTAAATACTTACGATCATTGAAATCTGGGAATGGTAGTTTTATTCCCCTAGTTAAAAACTTATTTGGGGAACCAGCAGTTAGCGTAATGGCTATGTCGCTGGATTCCCACGTAGTCGACCGCGGTTCGCGTCCCGGACCCGGTGGCTTGAAACTCACGCCGGGCGCGTGTGCGTGCGTGCCCAAGATCCCGAGAGGAGAATGGAGGAGAAGGGATTGCGGCGTGACCATCCCCTCTGGGGGGTGATTTCTCGCTTTCTGGCTCTCTGTCTCTCTCTGTCTGTCTGGTGAGCGCACGCGCCCTATAGCAAAAACCTCTCAAAAAGAAAAAAAACTTATTTGGTACCAGCAGATGGTGTAATGGTTATGTTGCTGGAATCCCACGTAGTGGATTGTACTTTGAGCCCTGGACCCAGTGGCTTAAACTCATGCCAGACATGTGTACATGTGTGTCCAAGATCTTGAGAGGAGAATGGAGGAGAAGGGATTGTAGCATGGCCATTCCCCCTAGGGGGTGATTTCTCGCTTTCTGTCTAATTTCTGTGTCTCACTCTGTCTCTTGGGTGAGCGGACGCACCCAGTAGCAAAATCTCTTAAAAAATAAAATAAAATGAAAACCTTACTTCATGTTGTAGGCATTCCAAAGACCCTCTTCCAAAAATGATGTCTGGTGTTTTCAGATTTAAGAGTCCTGTTATTGGAATCAAAATAAAAGCTCTTTTAAGTCTATAGAAATGTGTATTTTAAAGCTGACTCATGTAATACATATTTTTTTCTTTTGTCTCTAGCCGAGTGGTATTGCCATGTTCTGTTCAGGAGGTAAGTTTTTCTCGCATTCATTTCAATTTATTTTATCTAAATTATTTATCTAAATTATTCCATTTATTTTACTTTGATTTGTTCATCTAAACTCATTTCTGTAGTATTTACTTAACCTTTTCCTTCCAGTGTATGTGACAAAATGAATTAGTGTATGTTATGGTTTTGGAAGAGTCTGAAGAATGTAGTTTAACCTCCTGTTCAGTACAGGAATTCTTTTTACAACATCCCAGAGCAATGTGTTCCAGTCTCAAGTTAAGCACTTTTAAGGCTTAGTAGTTTGCTGCTTAGGAAAGTAACTTATTTTATTGATATTTTAGACATTTGTCCTTATTTTAAACCAAAATTTGTTTTATTAAAATGTTTAACTGTTGTTTACAGTTCATCTCACTTTAATAATGGGAAATGAGCCTGTTCTGTCTTATATGTGGTAACCCTTCAGGTTTTCTGATGGCAGTTCTTCCTGCCAAGCTCCTTTGTTCCATCTTAAAAAGTCACAGGGTTAAATATTCCCAGGATATTCACTTAGCCTAATATAACACGACCTCTAGACTCCCTTACCAGCTGGTCTCAGTACAGCATGTGTTGTAATTGTTGCTACAGTGTTCTAGACATAGTCTGACCAGCATGAAACTGTGAAAGTTTATTGTCTAACTTGATCTGCACATGATACAGAAATATCACCTATTCAGGACTTTCATATCCTGCTTTTGTAGCTATCTATGCTGTAGCCAACAATGAGGATAAAAGCAGAGAAGACTTCTGAGAAATCTAGGTTTATGTAGCAAAACCCATGAAACACTCTGGGCCCTTCTAAACTTCCAGTTTCCATTTGCTCAGTTATCTAGTTTTCCTAGAGCTGACAGTACATTAGAAGTAATAAGTTGGAAGTGGAACAAAAGAAACTGATAACGTAAGAAGTGACGGGTGACAGAAGACCAAAAAAAAAATGTAGAAACAACAACGACTAGTGTAGACTTGAGTGTAGATGTATGTATCTCAGTAGTGCCTGAGGTTTTACTGTATTAAAACACACTAGACAAGTAAGGTAGTCCTATTCTTTAGTTGCACAAATGATTGGACTTGAATGTGGAGGTCGACATTTGTGTTGATTAGATTTTTTCTTCCAGTTTCAGCTGGTTAAATCAGCTTATTTAAATCTTTTCATCTTGGTATTGTCCTCAAAATAATCTCAGATTTTTGTTATACTCAGATTTAATAAGCATGCCTCCCATCTCTCTATAAAATAAAATTAGAATGAAAACTAAGTCGAGTAACGTGCCTCAAAATATCAATCCATTAATACCATTTGTTTGAATAATATGTTTAGTTCGTTCTGGGTGAATGTTTGTTACTGTTTTCCTAACCAAGAACACATTTACCTTTTGGTTTAGAGGCAGCTTAGTCTTATTTTTAAATATGACGGCATTCTGTCAAAGTACACTTTGAAAGACTTTAAGGATTGTGGTATTACCAGACTAACCCTAGTGTTGTATTATGGAAAACCAAAAGAAATACAGCCCTTTCTACAGTCTAAAATCTCTACAGACACTTATTTTTGGAGCATTTAAGGGATATATTTGGTTCCAGTTTTCTCAACCCTTCCAAATTGAGTAGGAGTGTGTGTGTGTGTGTATGTGTATTCTTTACATAGAGGTGGAGAGAGGGAAATGGGGAGAGAGACAGGTATTTGCTATGTCAAGATCCTACTGCCTCCACCTCTCACTTAGCTGTGATTAGGCACTTGCAGCTGTGCTCAGGACGTTCATATTAGCCTAGGAAAGAAATCTGGGCCTCCAGTGCCATTTCCATTCCATCAAATGGTAGCACTGCCAATAGACCACCATGGCTGAACCTGTTTGTGTGTTTTTAAGATAAATTAACCTGCAAGGTAGCATCATATTCCCATTAACTTTTTAGATATGAACAGTTACTGAGTTTACAACTACCGCAGTTTCGTAACTCTTGAATAAAATGTTAGTTTTGAATTATGACTTCTTAGTAGATTTTTGTAGCTCTTTTGGGAAAATATTTTTACAAAGCAGAGAAACACTTCCTTCAGCTGTTCTTATTGAAAGGAAGAAATTTTGCCAAATGTGAAGAGATTGGTGATAGTGTCATGGTTGGGTCACTGGAACAAATTAGAACATAAGAATTTTTTTTTTTTTTACCATTTGTTGGAACTATTAGCGACTTCAGGTTGGCATGAAATAGTACTGCTGACTCACAGGTATTGATGCCAGCCACTGAGAATTCTGGTTCACTTAAAATGAAATTGAAACAACTGTTAGCAGCAGCCTCCTGCCTTTTATGGTAATACTTGTATGTTTTCTCAAATATTAGTTCTGTTTACTAGAGAACTTCACAATTAACAGTTCTGATCTTACATACCCCATTCTGTTTCTGTTGAACTGAGCAAGGGCTAGGTTGGGCAAGTTAATACCTAAGTCATGGAAAAAAAGATGCCAGAAGTCTACCGAAATTAGACTTTCGTAGTTCTTTGGATGTTTAAGCTTTTGCTGTAATATTTTATATCCTTTATTATTCAGAATGGCATTCTGATTGCTCAGCTTTAATTGGCAAAGTGACAAATTATATTCCTGTCATACCATCCTCAGAATTTTGTAAAATTAAATGCAATATAATATATGTGAGAATGCTTTGGAAAGCATGACTGCATATTGTTCAAAAGTTGAAACAAGTGTCAAGACATTTTCTTGATAAATGGATGGCATATATTAAAGCACTAGAATATTTGTAATTGGCTTTTTTGTTTGATGGAAATCTTGTATAATATAGTTTCTTAAAGCTGTATAATCATCTGGTATTTGTTTTCCTATACATACTGATTTCTGAATTGAGTCATATTTTTGAACAGAACATACATGCTGAATGATTTGGATATCCTTTTTTTCACATCTCTGTATTAATATTTTAGCATAAAAATCCCTGCAGTTCCTACCAACTTACCAAAATTTTTTGCTCTGAAATTTCAGTATCAAGTTGGGCAGCTTTACTCTGTTGCAGAAGCTAGTAAAAATGAGACTGGTGGTGGAGAAGGAATTGAAGTCTTAAAGAATGAGCCTTATGAAAAGGATGGAGAAAAGGGACAGTATACACACAAAATTTATCACCTAAAGAGGTAAGTGGAGTGTTCATATGTCATGTTTAGTCATCATGATGAATAATTATTCTTATAACTATCCAGCTTATTTACCTAACTTCTAGATTTACCAGAGTGCTTATTTGTGTGTGTGTGTGTGTATGTATATATATATGTGTGTGTAGAAGGTAGAAAAAAAACTGGCTATTTGAATTTCTTATTGTGACTTGACTGTTCAATCTTTTGTTGTTGTTGTTTTTAAATCTCTGGTTTGTTGAAGTCCTTTTATACATTTTCCTAAATTTGACAGTCTAATATCTATTTTTGCCATAACTATTTTAACAGAATGCATACTAGTATTTATCTAAGGGCAAAAGACAGTAATGGCTTTTAAGAGTTCATTTGTCAGTAAATCCCTGTTCATTAAAGGTAGAAGAGTATTTTTGCTTATCTTACTTTCATTCTATATATATTGAAACAAATCATATCTTTGTTTTATAGAGCTCCTTAAAGTGGTAGATGAGCTGTGGTGATCAGTATTTTACATATTTTCTCAATTTACCTCTACTGCTTGGTTTATAGTGATGCATGAGCATTAAGTAGGTTATCATTTTATAGAACTTTACATTTTATCATTATTTTCTCTTAGAATACAGCTTATTTATTTTTTCTGTTTCAGTTTTGACTTGAGAAATAATGAAGGCAATAACTGATAGATCAATTATATGTATACTTCTTTCTATCTATAGATATTTCTTTTAATAAGTTAGCTTCCCAAATATATCTAAAAAGTGTGTCAACTGAGAGGAGAGTTTGACTTCCTAGATGGTAGGCTCTATAATATTGAATTTACATGCATATACTCAGCTTTTTGTAGAATTTTTAATTTACCCATTAATTGAACTATTAATTGAATTCTAGCAGTGTAAAAATCCCTCTTACTATAAACATTGAACTCTCTTTCTAGGGTTCTAAAATAAACCCAGAAGTTTGATAAATGAAATTTTCTGTTCTATGATGTCCTTGTTAGGTCATTATTTTATATATAAATAAACGTGAAATAGGCCAAAAATATCCTCCAGTTGAAATCTAAGAGTTGCAATATTGGGAAATGCTTGATATATTACTAAATGGAAAAGATAAGATGCCAAATAAAAACATACATGTGTATACTGTTAACGTGCTTTTGAAAAAGTTAATTAGGGCCAGCTGTCGTCATGGTGTTTAACAGCTAATTCCCACATGGCTGACTGTGTGGTTCAAGTCCTAGATCCAGTGGCTTGAAAACACACTGACTTGAAAAACATGCCAGTGTGTGTACCTGAAACCCTAAAAGGAGAAATGAAGGAGAAGGGATCATAGCATGACTTTCCCTCATGAGGTTATTTTCTCACTTTCTTTCTCTGTCTCTGGTGAACTCTGCACAGTTCTTTAGCATATTAAAAAGTTCATCAAAAAAGGTAAAAAAAAAAAATTATTAAAATGATAAGAATATTTATCCCTTGGTGATAGGATGTGAGTAATCTTCAAAAATGTTTTACTTTTGGGAACCAGCAGTTAGCATAATGGCTATGTCGCTGGACTCCCATGTAGTCGACCACGGTTTGCGTCCCAGACCCGGGGGCTTAAAACTCACACCGGGCCTGTGTGCGTGTGCGTGCATGTGTGCCCAAGATCCCGAGAGGAGAATGGAGGAGAAGGGATTGCGGCGTGACCATCCCCCCGGGGGGGGTGATTTCTTGCTTTCTGTCTCTATGTCTTTCTCTGTCTGTCTGGCGAGTGCACGCGCCCTATAGCAAAACTCTCTCTCAAAAAAAAAATCAAAAACTTTTACTTTTCTGTATTTTCTTTTTCTTTCTTTCTTTCTTTTTTTTTATTATTAGATTTTTGCCATTGGGTGTTTGTACTTGCTACAGAGAGACAGAGGGAGCAAGGAAAGTGAAGGGTCACATCCCAGGGGGATGGCCATGCTGCAGATCCTTCTCCATTCTCTTATTGGGGATTTTGGGCAGGCATGCATATGTACTTGATATGTTTTTTAAGCTGCTTGGTCTGGGACTTAAACTGCACAGTTGGCCATGTGAGATCTGCCTTAACCACCAAGCCACCTGCTGACTCATGTATTTTCATTCTTATGAGGAAGAAAAAGTGTTATATATTTTTAAAACGTCTGATTGAGATAACACTGGCTATAAATAATAAATCTCTTAAGTTGAAGAGGTCTATCTAAATATGGTTAGTGTAAGAGTTGTTCTTATTTTGGAGCGCATATTTGGTCATGAGGTTCAGAATTCCTCTCAGGCTTTTAGTGGGTTATATAAATGAAAATCTTGGCTCTCTGGAGAGCAGCCTTCCTACACATTTTAGCTTCTGGAACGGGTTCTTCATTCCTAGAAGGAGTGGAAGTAATTCACAGTACCCTTTGGTTTTACCCTTTCACACACTCATTTGTTCCTCATTGCAGTCCTCAGAAATGACATACTATACCTGAGAAGATGCTAAGGCACATATTTATCTGAAGTCACTTTGTTAAGTGATAGAATGATAATAGAGACTTGGGATTCCCTATTTCCTGTCCTATACTTGGTTACAACAGGCAGTTCCAGGTGCCTGACAATACTCAGAACTCAATGAGCACAGGTCTCCTATGAGGAGAAGTGAGGAGAAGGGGGAGATGGCACCTGTGGACTGAAGTACAGAGGCATGAAATAGGAAAGGGAGGAAAAAAAAAAGAGCAGCAGTAATGGTTCTCAGGCAGCGAGGCAAATAATAGCCACTTAGACAGTAATGAGAAATAACCAAAAATCTATCCATTGGTAATGACAAAACAGGGACGATTTGTCATGGTAGGCAAAGGGAGGGAGCGGCTCTAGGAACAAGGGCAATCATATGTCCATACTGAAATTCATTAGTGTCACATGGAAGGCACATTAACCATAGGGTAACTATATTATGGCAAGGCAAAGAATCACTTAGTCATAGTAAGTGCTGAGGCCTTCGCTGTTGTGTAAGAAAGACCTCAATCCCAGGGCACAGTCCTTAGTTCTAGAGCCCATGCTCTCTCTCTCTAAAGAAGTTAAATTTGTGTCTGGAAGTACTCGTTTTCTTTTCCACGTTCTCCATTAGTTAACCCTAGCTATGTACACTGTCACTGTATAATATCACTTGCTAACGCTACCAACACCTTATTTTACATTTGAGATACTTGAAATTCTAAGGTCCTCTTTACTCAGAGGAACCAGTTTGTGATTTCCCTGGCACTGTGCTTTCCCATTTCATCAAAACACTTTTCAGCGAGATGTATATACTTAATTCCAACCAGAATGTTGAGAAACAATCTTGGCAAGGTATTAACAAAGTCCAACAGTCAGCAACTTGTTGCAAGGGACATTTCAAATGTCTGATTTCCTTAAATCTCAGGTAATAAATCGTCTTAACAAGATATTTAGATTGCCTCCATATTTTGTTTGGTAACTTACTGTTTCACCTATGGTAATTCTATACAGAATCTAGTACTTACATGTTCTTATGTGCTAGTCACTGGGTCATTATAAGTGCTCTAAGTGGGAGCTTATTCATTCCCCACAGCAGCTTTTTATAGTGAGAAAACTGAGGTTCAGAAAAGTTAAGTAACTTACCCCATCTCTCACTGATATTTAGTAACAGAGATAGGACATGAACACAGGCAGGTGTTGTGACTCCAGAATCTGCCCTCTTAGGCCACTTTGCTGCATTGCTGAGCCCTGTGGGAGAGAGGGAATATTTTCCATTTCCCAAAGTGAACTTCATGAGAGTTTGCAAACAAACTCTTCCAAAACCACAGGTTTAACTATACTTCATTTTCTCATAAGCCTTTAAAGTCTAAAGTCTTTTTCCAAAATAAATTTAACAAGATAAAACTTAAGATTGTCCACATATCCTCAATCGTTGTAACTCCTTCCAGAATAAAAACCTTTGGCTGTAAGCAAGCCGATCTCTTTGTTGTCCTACAGAAGTAACCTGTTCAACCCACTGAAACTTTGACTAGCCTCCTAGGCCATTTTCTGATGTCAGGCCTGTCGACAACGACCTGCTTGATTTCCTGAGCTCAGCTGAGATTTGTCCTGTGCAGAGGCTTTCCTTGGACATTTTTATTCATATTGATCTCTCTTCCCTGAATTCATTGCTTTTTGTCACCCTGTTCATTCTGATACTTAACTATCTATTTCCATATGTGTGCATATTTGTCTCGTCTCCCATTTTCCATAAAAGTTTGAGTATGTTTCCTTATGATATGCAATAATGGATGGTGGTGAAGGAGGAGGGAATTTTCTGAACAAAGAATTTTGAAGCAGGACAAGAAATTGTGTTGTAACTTAAGAGAGGGTATTTCAGAGAAATAGCTTTCCTGTATGAATACCTCACTGTACGAACACACTGACCAGTTCTTTTTGTTTGTGCTACTTTCTTGGGGAAAATCAGCCTTACTGTTTTTTTTTTTTTATTACTCATAAGCAGCATATTTACATCATCTTCAGTCAACCCAGATGCTGGAGAATTTTTAAAGTTCTGCCAATTCCAGAATAGCTTTGTTTCCCAAAGGTTGAAACAGCAGAAGTTTTATTGAAAAATTGGTATTTGAAAATGTTAAGTAGTTCCAGGTAAAAGTTCAGTTTTGTAAGCAGAAAGAGCCATTCACCAGGAAATTATGTCTACAAATGAAAAATTTCTTTTTTTTATGGAGAGGTGGGTTTTTTTTTTTTTTTTTTTGGCTATAGGGTGCGTGCGCTCACCAGACAGACAGAGAGAGACATAGAGACAGAAAGCAAGAAATCAGGGGGATGATCACGCGGCAATCCCTTCTCCTCCATTCTCCTCTTGGGAAATTGGGCACGTGCGTACATGCGCCCAGCGTGAATTTTAAGCCACCGGGTCCAGGACGTGAACCACGGTCGACTATGTGGGAGTCCAGCGACATAGCTATTACGCTAACTGCTGGTTCCCATAAATGAAAAATTTAAATGGCTTGAAAATGCACAGAGATTTAAGCCACTGGGTCC